GAAAATATTCAGTGGACTGATGAGACAAAGGATGAACTTTTTTGGATGTTTTGAGTGTTGTTACACGTGTTATAAATTAACACAGCATTTCATTTAAAAAAAACAAACAACAAAGACCAACAGTCAAACATGGTGGTGGTAATGTGATGGTCTGGGGTTGCTTTGCTGCTTCAGGACGACTTACTGTAACTGATGGAAACATCAATTTTCTCTACCAGAAAGACCTGAAGGAGGACGTCTCTCCATCAGCTCATGCCCTGAAGTTCAAGCTCAGTCAGGTTATGTGCCAGGACAATTATCCGAAACACACCATTAAGTCAACCCTTTAATGTCTTTTTTATATTTATGGACAATTTTAATTAAATTAAAAATACATAGAAACAGTAATCGACAGAAAATCCTTCTGTGAAAGGATACACGTGTGTATCCTCCGTTATCGTTCTTCTAGCGAAGCCGCCGCTCCGCTCCACCCTGCAGATGTATTTTTAGGAGCTGAGACACGTCTAACAACATGGTGTACTGAGATTGATTTCCAGGTCACACACAGGAGGAGGCACAAATTAGTGAAACAGGACAACCGACGTGAATACGAAACACAACCATCAGTCTTTATAACCTCTCCGATGTCAGCGTGCTGGGCCGTTGACTCAGCATTTTGAGTGCATTTTGTATTTTTGATCCCTTTTTGCTATTTTGGGGAAATGTTTAACTTCTAGTGTTTACAGTTTGCATAGAGTTTAGACCTGGTTAGGTTGTAAGTTTAATTAGAATTATGATCCATGTTTTCTTGTTGATGTGTATGTATATGTTCGTTATGTCTGTGTCTCCCTCCGTGTCTCCGCTCGCTTTTCTGTTCCCACGTTTCATGCCATGTCTCCCCAGCCCTTCATCTCCCTCTGTTTCCATGTTCTCCTGTTCTTTCCCAGTCCCAGTGTCAAGTCTGTGTGTCTTAGTCTGCGCGGTTCCTGTTTTATTTTGATGGTCTCTTATCTCGTGTTCAGTTTTTCTTCCTCTTGTGTCATTAGGCCTATTCATCCCAGCTGCGTTCCTCGTGTGTTTCCACTTCCCTCGTCACCCTCATGTGCATTTATTGCCTGAGTTTCCCTGTGTTCATCATCAGGTTATCTGCGCACCTCTCCTTCTGTGTCCAGGATTCATGGTTTCTTAGGTTTTTAGTAGTTTTCCCAGTTTATGTTACAGGTTTGGGTTACATTCTGGTTTTTTCGTTATTTTGTGTCTTTGTGTAAAACCTAAATAAAAGGCTCACAAATTTAAGTTTGTTTCCACACCTCGTTTTGTCTGCGTTTGGGTCCTCACCTCAAACTCCAAGAGTCTGCAGCAGCAGGCTGTAACATCCCATTTCAAAATCAGCTAAAACATTAACACTTAAAACAGTATCAGTGCAGAACGACTCTGAACAGGTCTGATTGTTTAAATGCTCTGTGTCCTTAACATGCACGACTATCATCAGCATCTCTTGATTCCTCTCCTGCTTTTGCAGCAGCATCTGAGTTTGGAGCGCGCAGGAAAAACAGGTTTGAGTCTCCATGTGTACCTTTCTTCCAGCTTCTGTCTCAGGCAATTATGAACCATGGCTCTCTCCCCTTCATTAGATTATCTCCCATGGTCTACCAGAGTGTTCAGGAAGACCATAGTCATTACCCAAGCTACTCCACGTTACCGGCAGCACAAAAACCCCGCTTTCACCTAGTAATTTGAGTCAGACAGACTCATCAGGGCAGGAGACAACAGTGAGATATGGAAGTACTACTGCCACTATCTGCAGATATCCATGTCCTGCACCGCCTTGATTACACAGGAGGATTTAGAGTGCACACTTGGCAGAGGCGACGTTCCTGGGGACATATTAGGCTCATTAGTTCCCCGGGCTTCTGCCAGTGGAGTACTTCAGCCGGAGGGATTTGTTGTACACAGTTGTCAGAGTGACAAACAGGGATATTCACAATAATGGAGTTCTTAATAGAGTAGATGCATAACAGTCGGCCATATTCCCGCCACAGAGGCGGTTTTGGTCCCTTTTCGAAAATAACTTAGCGGTCTGTCGCTCCCACTGGAACGTATCATTAAACGCACACTGGTATCTCTGGGGCAGCGCACAACCTTAATATCAATAAGGATCCAATCACTTATGTAATCAGGCAGGAAATAACAAGATCTCATTTGTCGGCAAGGGAAATGATGCAGCCCATAAAAAGATGAAAAACAGTATTAATTGCCAAGATCCTGTGCATAGGGGGCCCATTGTCACGCTATATGATTTAGTCGTAATTCGACATGCTTGTGAATCCATGTGCAGAGCAAAAGGCTCAATTATAGAAACGAATAAGCCAGGGAGCTTTAATTTTTTTGTGCTGCTGTTGGGGTGTGGGTGTGGATTTCCCTTCAAATAAAGATGCAGCAGGCTGTGCGTGTACATCACAGAAAACACTTGTTTATTTCTGGTCTGGCAGCTCGGTAATGACAGAAAGTTTTTCAGTCATTCCAGAGACCGTCAGGTATTCATCGCTTATGGAGCAGTTGAGTAATGATACAACCGGGTGTGAAATTGCTTTCCTCCCTGTAATGTCAAACAACTACTTAAGAGGTGAGATTATTGCACAGGGATTTTAGCAAGCCAAAAAAAAACCCTCCAACAAAGCTGCCAATCACAGCAGGTTTGGTGCTCGTGGCACAGAGCGTACACTTCTGTGGGCTCTTTGTTGCTGGAATAAAGGAAAACCGGCAACAAGAAGTGCTCAAAGTCTGTCTACTCCAAGTGACTGTTTGGGGCAAAAATATGGGATTTGTTTTGCTCAGAAAGTTGAAAAGCATCTAAAGTTGACTTTACGGATCAGCTTGTTGACTGGAGCGAGACCTGCTGTGGCTTAAAGGAGATAGAGGACCCACTGGGCTGTTTCCACATTTCGACTGAGGACATTTCTCCAAAAGAGAATTCTGAGGAAAAAAAGAAGAAACTTTAGTTTGATGCTTCACTGCCAACATTAGGGTATACATTTGAAAAAAACATTTAAACACAACTGAAAATATACAGTCGTTACTTCTGCTGAGGAGACTGTATGACTGGTTCAGTTTGTTAGCAGGTTACTCAAAGTTTTGGAAAATTTACCAGAGCTGATGGTTTGCCCAACTTCAAAGTGATAAAGTCAACCAGAATCTGAACGATGTCCTTGACCTGCTCTACCTCCTGGCTGTGATTCAGGAGGTAGAGCAGGTCATCTTGGTGATTTAATCCATGAGTCTACATGCCAAAGTACCCTTGGGCAAGACCCCTGAGTTTCTCGTCATTTATTGGAGTGTAAATGTTAAACATACCCCACATCCGGTAAGGTAGAACAGCGCTACATAAGAGCAAGTTCTATTATTACTTATCCATCCTTTTTCTCACAAGATATATGGTAATATTAGGGGTTTGGGATAGATTCAGCAGCTCATCAGCTGCTAACATCCATACCTAAGGCCAACTTGGAATAAAGTAGCTAACCTAAGAAACACTTCCTTGGACATGTATTTGGAGTCTCCATCTATCTGACCAGGAGGTTCAAAACAAGTAGTGATGGGATTTCCGGCTCTTTTTAGAGAACCGGCTCTTTTGGCTCGACTCACTAAAAAGAGCCGGCTCTTTTCAGCTCCGAACTGGCTCTTCAGGTTTTTTGTTGCTTTTTTTGGGAAAAAAAAAAAACCCCACGGCTCGCGATAAGGAGCCAGCTCGCGTCGTTCACGTCAAAGATCCGGCTCTAAGAGCCATTTCGTTCGCGACCGACACATCACTAAAAGCAAGAACCATCTTGCTGCAGCGTGACAGCACTAACAGCTGTGACATTCTGCCCCCTTTCACAAAGACATGTGAAACTGAATTTGTAATGTTGGGAGATATTTTCTTGAAAACTTCAAGACAGCATCACAAATAAATCCAGATCTAAATATCCAATTCGATTCACAGATTCAGTCCATTTACAGTGTAATGCAGCGGTCCCCAACCTTTTTTGCGCCACGGACCGGTTTATGCCCGACAATATTTTCACGGACCGGCCTTTAAGGTGTCGCGGATAAATACAACAAAATAAAACTAGTACCGGTACC